GGCAAAGCGATAATCGCGGGTCTCCCTCCTACTAAGCGAAACGCGAAAAATGTGCGTGTGAAATTTGGCGCTCGTGCACGTGTCGTGCAAAGGTGACCCAGCGACGCGATCCCAGAAAGTTGAAATATTTTCAACTTTTCATCGCTGTCGCTCGGACGAGGACCAATCAACGGAGGTTTCATTCACTGACCAATGAGCGGACAGGATGCTCCGTACATCTCCGAGCAAACATGGAGGAGAAGTTGATTATTATTATGTTTTATAGTAAAATCAGAAGTAAGATTTCACATAACTCTAACAGCACCTTGTGAAACATCATATCTACCGCTTTATTAACTCTGAACCGCTTAAATAACCTTAATTCCCTCCAACCTGACACAGCCAAACAAAACAACGGAAGTTTCGATTTCACCATGGAACAGAACGCGTAGACGGCTTTGCCGCTGGCCGCTGCCGCGGGTCGCCTTCCGTGTGTCAGGTAATAAAAGCGACAGCGACTAGTTTCGCTGATCGCGGTCGTTTGTCGCCTCCCGTGTGTCGAGCCCCCTGCAGCTGCATCTGTGTCTGAGCTATCACCTCCATATTGGCTCAGGTGTGGGCGGAGCTAACCAGCTGGGAGGTGTTGAATACTGGGATGAGTTCATGAATTAACAAAGCACAATCAACCAAAGCCAGCAGATAAAGGACTAAATCCACCAAAGCTTGTTCCAACGGTGGGATGTCACTTCTGGTTTCTTTAGGACAGAAATCTGACTGGTCCCTTTAAACAGAGGCTGTTACAGTCCACTAATGGCTGCTTTGTGCGACACTGATTTAATCTAGTGTACACTAGACATGAGGATTGTGCTTGCCTAACAACGAAGAAAGGGCTCTGCTGGGTGGGGTCATTTATAGTGGGGCGGTTCTTGTGTTGTGCAACGTAATCTGTAGGTGACTTCGACCGGTGAACAATAACAATGGCGGCCCTTCTAGGAGCAATGTGCAACATTCTGCTCACTCTGGTGCACAGAGAGGGCCTCTGAAGAGAACAAGCTAGGAGAAGGCTGTAGGCAGACGGACAAACACTGGAGAGACGGGATGATGGCAAGCTAATGCTAATGCAAACACAACATGTCAGTCTGGCAAAAGCACATCAGGACCTTGGTCCAACATAAGCCTAAGCTGGATGGTCATTGCAGGATCTTGTGCAGATCTTTGAGCTGAAAATACTCTTTTTTTTCTGTCTAATTCCCCATTAAATTAAAGGAGGTTTTCCAGAGAAGCTGAACTTATTTGTAAACCAGAGTGGACTGCCAACCTAGTCCCTGATGTCAGTCAGCAAATAACAGCTGTGATTTGTAATTAGCTCCTTGAGATCTGAGGCTTCAGTCCTCAGCTGGAAATGGGTGGACGCCAACTCGGACATGGGAAGCAGAAACTAACCGAGGAGGATCTTTGAGACTTCTTTATGAGGAACTGTGTGCATGTGCATGTGCGTGTGTGTGTGTGTGTGTGTGTGTGTGTGTGTGTGTGTGTGTGTGTGTGTGTGTGTGTGTGTGTGTGTGTGTGTGTGTGACTATGTGGTTGTACGAACATGTAGGCAGAACTACAGAAACATCTGAGAACCCTGGTGACTGGCTATGACTAGATTTTACTTCTTGATTCTGTCACCATATAAAAATACAAATATAATAATATTAAAAATTTATGTTGATAAATACATTTTTTGGAAAACTGCCGCTGGTGTGGATGAAATGATGTGTAAACAAAAGCCCTTACAGATATGTGTTTCCTCCATCCATCCATCCATCCATTTTCTTCCACTAATCCGGAGTCGGGTCGCGGGGGCAGTAGCCTAAGGCGAGAGGCCCAGACTTCCATCTCCTCAGCCACTTGGGCCAGCTCTCCCGGGGAAATCCCATAGCGTTCCCTTTCCCATCTGACATTGCCCCTCCAACGTGTCTTGGGTCTTCCTTTAGGTTTCCTCCCAGATGGACATGCCCGGAAAACCTCACCAGGGAGGCGTCCTGACCAGATGCCTGAGCCACCTCAACTGGCTCCTCTCAATGTGGAGGACCAGCAGATCTACTCCAAGCCCCTCCCGGATGACTGGGAGAGCCCAGCCACTTTACAGAGAAAACTCATTTTGGCCGCTTGTATCCGTGATCTCCTTCTTTCGGTCACTACCCAAAGCTCGAGACCATAGGTGAGGGTAGAAATGTAGATCGACCGGTAAATCGAGAGCTTCGCCTCCCAGCTCAGCTCTCTCTTCACCATGACAGATCGGTACAACGCCTGCATCACTGCAGACGCAGCACCACCTAGCAATCTCGCGCTCCATCTTTCCCTCACTGGTGAACAAGACCCCGAGATACGTAAACTCCTCCACTTGAGGCAGGACCTCCTCCCTGACCTGGAGAAGGCATTCTACCCTTTTCGGACTCAAGACCATGGTCTCGGGTTTAGAAGACCTGATTCTCATCCCAGCTGCTTCACACTCGGCAGCGAACAGCTCCAGCGAAAGCCAAAGATCACGTTGTGATGAAGCCAACAGGACCACATCATCTGCAAAACGCAGAGACCAGATCCTCAAGCCACCAAAACAGATCCCTCAACGCCTTGGCTGCACCTAGAAATCCTGTCCATAAAGGTTATGAACAGAATCGGTGACAAAGGACAGCCTTGGTGGAGTCCAACTCTCACTGGGAACGAGCCCGACTTACTGCCGGCAATACGGTCCAAGCTCTGACACCGGTCATACAGGGACCTAACAGCCCGTATCAAAGGGCCTGGTGCCCCATACCCACCAGAGGGCCCCCCGAGGTACGCGGTCGAACACCTTCTCCAAATCCACAAAACACATGTAGATTGGTTTGGGCAGATTCCAGGACTATTTGTTTCCTTCTCACTCTAAATGGGAAACTTATTCAACATTTTTTTTTATTTTAATTAGCTGAACATGCTTATTCCCTGCTGTAAGATCTCATTAGAGGTCAGACAGAATTAGATTTTCCAACAACAACTAAGCACAAAAGGTCAGATTAGGCCAAAACCAACCACCACAGGTGCTAGGCTGGCCTAAAACACGCTCACATGCTGACAGAGTTCAGAAACCGTGTTTGTGTTACTTATATCTGAATCTAACATTTAAAAAAAAACCTGTTCGATAAAATGGACATTTACCAATACAGAATACCACAAATGTTTTTATAAAGTGATATAATTTAGCTGGGTTGACTAAATCTTTTAGAATCGCTGGTTCCCAACTCCACAGGGTTACTTTAGCCTGTACAGCAGAGGTCACATAGACCAAATATTTTCTATCCCTCACAGGGCTGGGCGATATGGCCCAAAATCAATATCACCATATATGGAGGATTTCACCTGGACAACGATAAATGGACGATAACTACAGCGATGCGCAGAGACAAAAGTTGTCCACTAGATGGGGCTGTCAAGAGTCACATTCTTACGTGACTCAAGGTGGTACAGCTTCTTAAAGTGACATGAACGTTGCCAACCAACACACATCCTTTCTTCTTTTTATTATCAAATTTATTGACATGGTAAAATTTATCTCGATAAGAGTCAGAAATTTTGATAACGATAAATTTTCGATTAATTGCCCAGCGCTAATCTCTGACCATTTTTTCAAGACGGTGATAAAAATCTAAAGGTTGTCTTTCATTTTGACGGATAACAATTCGGAGAAGGAACCCTAGGCGGCCACACAAGACTCCAAGTTCTGTGATGTCTCACTCACTGATGCAGACGCCAGATGTTTTCCATGTTACACATCAAGAACATCTCAGAGGTAAATAAAACAGTCAAAACCAGATTCAGAGCATCCTCTCTCACCTGTACATCATAACAAACAAATCTCACTATATTGGAGCTTACAGCGCTGTAAAGAGTTATGAGTACGAGGTTTGGAGCACGTCTGGGACCTCTACAGGTCTTAGATCAGTGCAGGTGAACCACCAGTGCACCAGGAGTGTGGCAGGATCAGGAAACCCTTCCTTCAGAGACTCTTACCAAATTCTGATCTCTTAATTTGGAGAAATGTCCCCATTTTTAAAACTTCGGCTGAGGTGTGACTTGTAATTCCAGTCTGGCAGAAGATGCAGCCTCCAGGACGATGGCGCAACCTTGGGTTCTTTGTTCAGCTTATTTTGGACTGTTAACAATTCAAATGAATGGAAACTAAATGCTATTGAATATTTCAATATCATTCTGCACATGAAGGTGATGTAAAGTAGTTTTATCCACCGTCAGCCAAACTGACAGACAACAAAAGGTCTAGTGCAACCTTTGCTGTAGGGTAAAGTAAATGTTTTATTGATAAGTCTGTTCTGTTGTCCACATTTGACATTATAGGTAACAAAGTATTTACTCAACTGAAACTATTCAAGTACATTCATCGCATTGGTTATGGTTTTGTAGCATAAACTGTTCTGCACCAGAGCTCAGAACAGCATTCTTCAGAAGCAAGAAGCAACTTCAAGGAGACTGAACGGGGTTTAAGAGTCTCCGAGTCAGTTTCACTCTCGTTCTGATTAAGACAGAATAATTCACTTAAACGTGAAAAAGAAGTCAAATTAGCATCAATATGGAGAACAATTTATCACCAGTCACGTCGTTACAGCAGGTCAGAACAACACAGTCGCTGTTTTCAACTGGACACATAAGCAGTGTTTATAAACACTGTTTTCAAACATGGATGGCCGTTTTAACAGGAGCAGCTGGTGTTTATAGACCCTGGTTGTGAGTAGCTCCTGGGATTTAACAAATACAGATCAAAGAGCAATAATCAACATTCATAAGCAACGACTGTTGTTTACTAAACAGGCTGGTGATATTAAGAATGAGATCAACTGTCTCCATGCTCTGTGATCGTTTACAGAAACTCACATGAACTGATTTAAATAACTCTAATCTTCAGACGCTCTGCTGTTGAACCCATTTGATTTCTGTATTTGGATCATTTTTAATAAAGAGTTCACCTAAACACTAATTTTTACCTCTCCGAGTGCCTGCAGGGCGACTGTGGCCGCCATGGCCTTGGCGTGCTTCTTATTGGGACTAGCGGTCTGAGGCTGGTAGTCCACGCCATTCACTGTAACCTGGAGACGACACAGCATACGGATGTGTTCAATAACAGGACTGTGATTACGTTTGTAAATCACACGGCTGGGCTCTCAGACCTCCACTGACTTAGCTGTTTAATATTACGCTCATAATTCATAGAAGAAGAGAAACATATAAACACAGTGAATAATGTAAACACTGGGGAACACACAACTCCTAGAGTCTGGTGAGGATCAACACTAATAAACCGCTCAGGTTTTTATTTCACATTCAGACAAAAACACAAGAGGAAAATGTGAATTCTAACAACTATATTATACGTTGAAAACAAACAAATAAATAAATAATTAAAATCAGTCACCATCCAAAGCTATTTTTATTAAATAAGTTGAAATGTTTACCTAAATATATAAATAAAACCAAACAATAACAATATGTTTACTACATGATAACATTTTTACAGTAGCTCAGGAGGTAGAATGGGTTGCCCAGTAATTGGAGGGTTGCGGGATCACAACCAGTGTGTGTGTGAATACTGTATGTGTGCATGGATGAATGATACACTGTGGTGACTCTGAAAGGTGCTATACAAGTGTGGGTCATTTATCATAAGTTTTTCTTTATATAAGCGAACACATTCTAGAACTATTCACATTCTCCTCGTTGTTTTAGCCCTCCTCCTAACTCTATATTATAATAATGATACATTTTTAAATATTTCAACACATTTGAACTAAAAACCCATTTATTTCTATTTCTATTTGTGTGTGTGTGTGTGTGTGTGTGTGTGTGTGTGTGTGTGTGTGTGTGTGTGTGTGTGTGTGTGTGTGTGTGTGTGTGTGTGTGTGTGTGTGTGCGCATGTGTGTGTGTGTGTGTGTGTGTGTGTGTGTGTGTGTGTGTGTGTGTGTGTGTGTGTGTGATTTCATTTTACTGGGGCAGCACCAGTATGCTTTTATTTGCACTATTGGGCGATGGTGGCACAGGAGTTAAGTGCTCGCCCCGTAATCGGAAGGTTGCAGGTTCGAGCCCCGCTCAGTCTGTCGCTGTCATTGTGTCCTTGGGCAAGACACTTAACCCAAGTTGCCTGCTGGTGGTGGTCGGAGGGACCGGTGGCGCCAGTGCTCGGCAGCCTCGCCTCTGTCAGTGCGCCCCAGGGCAGCTGTGGCTACATCGTAGCTCATCCCCACCAGTGTGTGAATGTGTGTGTGAATGTGTGTGTGAATGGGTGAATGACTGATTGTGTTGTAAAGCGCCTTGGGGGGTTCCAGGACTCTAGAAGGCGCTATATCAAATACAGACCATTTACAATTTCCTAGAGGATCCCTTCAAATTAAAAGCATATTTTGGTCATTATGAAGTGTTTGAATTTTACAAGACATGATTATTTTGGCAGGGATAATAATAAATCTGGGAGATTTCATTGCTGATAGTTCTGCTTGTAAAGGAAAACTCGAGGGTCTGTTTTTATTAACACAGGCTGTTCAGGAAGCAGATAAAACAGGGATGGTTTTAACTTCACACAGAAACGCACTTCCTTTAATATTTAATGAGATTTATTTTCCATGTCTGAGTTCTGTGAGGTCGGAATGACCTGAAGTGGAACAAACTCTTTAAACCTGAAAAACAGACTTTAAAGTTCAAGAGTTTTCAAAGACTCCTACAAACTAATACGAGACTCAGACTGACAACCCCTACACCCCCTCCTGTCCATCACACATGCTATTTGCACACAATAATAACAGTATCCCCACAGAGACATCGTAAACACATCACAACGACCAACCTTAAAGAGGAAATTCTTGCGGTGGTCTGGCCCGCTGTGATGAACCATAACAAAGTCTGGCTGCATGATCCGTTTCTTGTTGCATAATTCAATGAGAGCAGAAACCGGGTGCTTCCCTGGAAACAAGTAAAAGAGCATAAATGAGATGAACAGGGAAAAGGAACAACCCTCAGTGGAAGGAATCATTTGAACAAGATGAATTAAAATACATTCAGTCAGAGGCTGATTGGTGTCATCGCAGCGTTGGGCTTTGAAGGGTTTCTTTGAACCGTTCTTGTTCGGGGGCAGAATGGCGGCACCAAACACTTCTTGGATTTGAACATATAAATAAATAAATCCAGGAAATCTGGGAAGTATTCTAGGATACAATAACACATTTCACCTAATAAGTTTCTGTTTGTAAACCTTAGATGCAGCAACATGCAGAATGATTATCTGATGAAAACCACCCACTTTGACTCAGACTGACAGATTCTGCCTTTTTCTACTCATACTGGCTTACTGACTGACTATTTAAAGGTTCCCCATCATGCTGTTTTAAACCTGTGAGAGCAAAGGTAGGATGTGCCCACAGCAGCATCTTAGGGTTAGGGTTTGGTTACTGTACTGGCTATGATAGTCCAGTGGTTAAGGCATCCAGCCCAGCACTCTAACCACTGGACTACCAAGTACATGACACCGGTCGCCTAGTCCACATATCCTAAGCTGGCCAGGGGAGACAGGTTAGCTTTCGGGGGAGGAGCAGGTCCAGATGTTGGGAGCAGGAACATGGAGTGACGTACAACTTATACATAAGGCAATTTAAGGAATTTCTAAATGAAATTCAAAATCTGCAGCTGAAACAGGAAAATGCACGAATGCAGCCAAAAGCGGGGTTGGGTATTTTTCACGAGGAAACAACAATACTACATGCTAACAAGCTCAAAAAAGTCAATTTTCCATTATATGGCTCCTTTAAAGGACCTGTATCTTGCTATTTACACCTTCCTGTGCAACAATGGGCACGCTATATGACATTGGCAATACTGAGATGTCATTTTTGATGAAAGATAAGTTATTTTCCTGATGCTGGTCTTCAACCTGGAAAAACCCCACCTCCTCAACATGTGAATTCCACAATAGTACACGGCTGCAGACCCAGAGACGGCAAATTCATGCCAACATGTCCGCTCAGCAATTGCAGAGTCAGGTGGGGCAGAAGTGCTGCATGGATAATAAACGGGCAGTTCAACTATTGGTGTGATTCATATGGAAATAATGTTTGAATAGAAGAAAGGGAGAATCTCTGAAGGTCCCACAGAAGCACCAGCTGATCCTTGATGCCACCATGGTATCCACCAATGGTTCATTTAGGGTCACCATGGTATCCACTAATGGTTCATTTAGGGTCACCATGGTATCCACTAATGGTTCATTTAGGGTCACCATGGTAACCACCAGGGGTTACTGAGGTCCCCTCTGAGGTCCTGGTGTATTGCAGACTAGCGGTGGTAAGATGGAGGAGAGATGAACCGGAGCTTCGTCTGCCCCAGTCTGCTGTTGGATAATTAGTGTAATCTCAGAATGCTGTTCTGGCTCGCTTCACTTGGCCCTCAGCTTTCTGCCAGATCGTAACAGACTGTTATGTAACGAGGTCTGATTGGTTTGTTTAATCGCCATCAGATAGGCACAAACACCCAATGGCATTCACATCTTTTGACACAAGACTGGCACCGCAGCCACGCTTTACACTTCCCCTTGTGCTGATCCAACAGCACGTTTCTGAGTTACAAAGTGGGTGAGGCCTGGGAGAAAGGTGTATATGATGACGTCCCAAGATTCATGTCACTTTTTGGATGTTATTCAAAAAATCCGGACCTTCGGTTTTTTCTGACCCACTTCCCTGTTTTTGCTATTTAAATCAACTCAAACTGGAACTACGGACTCGGTTTTTACTGCGGGATGATCTGTAACAGTTAAAGGGCTACTAAGCAGTTTGCTTGCTTTTAGCACCCCCTTGTGTCTGCTATTAATTATCTGTGGTCAAAGCAAAAGTGAAACTCATCTCCTCGGTACGTTCATCTTTCTAACACCTTAATCTAACAGCTGAAACATCTCCCCAGCCTTCATTAGTGTCTACAGGAGCAATCCATCACTAAATTAAACAAATCAGCTGTGTTCCCAATCTAAAACATGCAGGAAACGTGCTGGAAGCAGAATGAAGTGGTAGGTATGTAAGCTCCTTTTATGCCTAAAGCCTGAGTCATGCTTCTGCGTGTGCGTCAGTGAGGAGACACGCAACGCCATCATCCATCCTTGCGGGCCTGCTGGAGAGCCCCCGCAAGGACGGACGGAGTCGAGCTCTCTTTTCAAAACATTCAACTGTCGAGATGGACAACGCAAGCTTGTGATTGGTCAGGGCACTGCTGTTGTCTACACCGCCGCCATTGCGCCCTCACAAACATAAAGAGAGCCGAGGATAACTAGCGGCAGACACGGAGCAGCTTGAAGAATACCTCGCGAAAAAACTCTAAAAACATGAACGTTTAATTCCCCGTGACTGGATGAGTGAAAAGATGAGCAGCAAGCGTTTTATTTGTGGACGGAAATGACAGGAAACGTGGGTTCAGAGGTGGCGAGCGCATGAAGAGGTGGAGGAGGATGAGAGACAAATTTGTCCGTGTTAAAAAGTCTCATATAAAAAAAACAATATAAACACACTATCTTGGACCGATACATGACAGGATACCACAGAACAGCGCTACGCCCTCTGTTGTCCTGGCAGGGAATTGCTTTGCAACACTCCCAGGGAGACGTAGAAGAATGAGGGCAAAATGTCTCCGTCCATGCGTGCGTGTCTCTCCCTGTTGGAGCTGATGGAGAAGATGACTCAGGCTTAACAGATGGCGCGGTTTTCTAGCCACGGGGGGCGGTGGGGGTCTGAGTGACGTTTCGTTAACCCTGTAAAGGGTCGTTTTAGCACATCCTTGCTCAAGAAAATGGTTTAAAATATGAAAACGTTGCATAGTATGGCTTTAAAAGTAACTGCAATAAGATTAAAGTTTGCACTGGACGTCCTTCCCCTAAAAAAGAAATAACAGGGAGGACTAAAGGTCCAACCTGGACTGCAGCCAGCGGCAAACCGAGTCCTGCGGATCCAGAAACCATAAACTAACGCTCGGAACACACCTGCCGTGAAGCGGATTGTTGACGAGTTTCGAGGCGTGAATTTTCAATGAGCGCTTTTGCTCACGCCAACTGTTTTCCAACCCCCCCCCCACCCCACCCCACCCTCTGTGCCCTTGCTGTGTGAGCGTGTGTGTGTCTGTTCACTTTCATCTCTCTAGTCTGTTTAGATACAAAGAAATGATCACATCAATTGCAATGTTTTATTTAGAAAAATGTCTTCATTTTGTTAAATTTACCGGCCTGACTCTTCTGTTTGGGTTTGATTTCCTGCCAGAATTGACGCGGATCACTCACGGCTCGCGAAAAAATTTGAGCTCACACCAAAACAATTGTTGCATGGCACGAGCCTACGTGGCACTTCGCAGCTGATATGACCAAGAGCGTGTATAAACGAGGGCGTCGATTAGAAGCGCTCGTCGTTCCGAGGCGCTTCACGGCGCATCGTCGCGCTTCCACGTCTGGTGTGTTCCGGGCGTAAGGTCAAGTAGGAGATGAGCTGGAAGGTAAAACTCTTGATTCACCGGTCCATCTACTGTCGATTCCCCAACAAAAAATCTAAATGATCCCCCTGGCCCGATGGTGGCTGAGTAAGTTAAAGAGCTTCTCCTCCTCATCAGAAGGAGCCAACTGAGGTTGTGCATCTGATTAGGATGCCTCCTGGTCACCTCCCTCTGGAGGATTTCTGGCCACTGGAGTGGACCCAGCACTCACTAGACCAGATCCAGGAGAGCTGGAGGATGTCCCAAAGTAATAACTTTTCTACTACCTGTTACTGTCAACAAGAACAAATTTGTTCACTCACAATAACAGAAGACACAAAATTTCCTAATTGTTAGGAATCCGTTACCCATTAGGTCCTTGGTTACGACTAGTCCTCCCGTTTGTTTCTGGGGCTTTTCTCCTTCAGCAACCAGACCTGAAACACAAGAACCATCTTGAGCAATCCATTAACATTGTTGGTTCCCACAGTAGTCTGTTCATGACCGCCCACAAGAGCAAGGAAATGAAAAACTGAGGTGTGGCAAATTGCTCTGAGATGTGAACGACTCTGGATCAATACACTATGATGGATGGAAGACACTAGACAGCTGGCAGCAAACACAAATGACGGTAATAACTGCTGCTAATTGGCGATTTTCTAGCCTTTACAAAACAATAAAGCAGAACGACTAGGTTTTAAGTTCAGATCTGTAGCCCTACAAAGAAGAAAAACACGTTAGCTCCAGGGTAATGCTAGCGTAAAGTGTTTGAACATTGGAAATTTGAGTGGAATATGGAGTTTGTAGACTCCAGAAGGGTCCTATTAAGGAGCAAAATCAGTCTCACATTTTCCAAGAAAGCTGTTTGAATCCTGACCCAAGTTAGAAACTCAACAGAAATCCTAAAGAACCCATTTTCAGTACTAGATTTTACGTTACTGCACTCATTTCCAAAAAATACCAAAGAGCAAATGGACCACAAGGACGTAGCACCAAAAAGATCAGCTAATAAATTACGTATTTTGTGGTCATATACCTTTTCGGTCGACCTTGAAGTCGATGATGATTGGTTCCACTGTCCCCTCACGGTTCCTCCCGAGGCCCTCTCCTGCCCTCCAGCCCATCTTTCTCATCAGGAACTCCCCAACGCCTCCTGATACTGGAGCTGCCTTGAGGAACTGGTCCTAATTAAGACACAGAGAGGGCACTAAGGGTGAGGAAGCAGGAGAAACCCTGTTTAACTCCCTGTTAACAACTCAAACACAAAATACTCTAAGAACAAAGAAAACTGGGAACAGTGTGATAGATTAAGTTGCCGTTATAAAGGCAAGACACCAAAAACTTGACTGTGTCCTCAGAGGCCCATTATATCCACAGGCCTGGCGAGGATGACATTAATCAGACAGTTAAGGAGGCCAAATGTAGCCCTGAAGACGTTTCAGAGCCCCAAAGCAGAAACTGCATGTCCATAAGACGTCCGTTAGAGAAAGATGAGTACAAGGCCAAATGAGCCATTGGTTCCTTTACTTTGAAAAAAAAAAAACATAATAAAATAAATTCAAGCGTATTTAGAAGTATTCAAAAGCTTTCCAGGCTACTTCATAAATCTGTAGAAGAAGTTCTGGTCAAATGGGACTTTAAACTCCTAGTCATTGTAAGAACTAGAGTTAAAAAGACACTTTAGAATTCAGATTCAATAGGAAAAAAGCTCTAAAATGTACAAGAAAAAATAAATAATACATGAAAACGTCTGCGCTGTTTGGGTTTAAGACAAAAATGTTTGATTGGTTGGAAGACCAACACGCTCTGACTGGTATAACGCTTTTGTAAGTCAGGGACTCCAAAGCCCTTCACACTACAACCACTCACACACCGATCACACAGCCACAGCTGCTCTGGCCACACTGGCAGAGGCAAGGCTGCTGTACAGGGGTGCCACCGGTCTGACAGCAACAAAGCCTGGCTTTGAACCAGCAAACAGATATATACAAGGCAAACCCCCTGAGTCACCATAGCACCCCACTTAAGGAGATAGTTGCACTCAGAAGTGGGAGGGGGGTGGGGGGTGGCTCTTGCACACTTTTACTTGCAAAGCCACAAATGAAATCTGCTGTTGTCCACATGGACATAGTGTAAGACATTAGTTTGGAGGAGTAGAGGTTAGGCTTTCAAACCTAAAAACCAACTGCATGCTGGTGGCAGCATCATGCTGTGGGACAAGTGCAACAAAGCTAGTTTTCCAGGAGCACTACTCAGCCTGAAACGGCTCTGCACAGCGTGGTTTGAGTCAGCCCATCTGTTCCCATGCCAGCTCAGAGACAGAAAGTCACCTCATAGGTGGTGGTGGTGAGGGGGGGGGGGGGGGGGGGGGGTTTACTTATGACTTACAGTGACTGTGTATTTTTCCTGGGTGGCAGTTGATACCTACATCGTTGCAAGCAAGCAGTATTTTCGTGTTGGAGTAAGACCTTACCAACGGATACCCATTAGGGTCAAAAAGCCCTGGGGAGTGCACAAGCCCGGCGTCATGGGCGGGCCCGACCCGCCTATTCGCTGGTCAAGCCCGCCCAGGACAGATACAACAGCTCATGCAAATGTATTGGCACAAGACGATCAACAGAGGGCGCTCTAGGTTACTAATCAACAGTTTTAGATGCGGTAGAAGAAGACGCTTCGGTACAGTAGCTTACTAAAATGGATATTAGCTTGGTTTAGCAAACAGAAAAACAATGCTAGCACAAGCAGGGACCGGATCATCAAAAAGGCAAGTGCAGCCAGAAGTTGCAGCTACAAGCGCTTCTGTTTCTCCTCTCTCCGTGCCTCCAACACAGTCGCAGCAGGCGATTGAGCCACCGGGTGGCAGCAGCACCAATGTAAATTACTGTTCAAATGACCTTGGGGTGGATCTGCTGTATTTTTGATAAAAATGTTTTAAAACACATAATAAAGTTGAAACTGTTTTTGAATATTTTTGCTGCTCTCTTTTTAGAAAGAAAACATTAGATTTTCCCCAAAATCTTCTGTTTAGAGAAGAACTAGTGTACACTTCTTACCAGCTGGTGGCAGTAACGCACCAAGTCAATGTTTACCAGCCGTGAATATTATCAAGAAGAAGCATGCAGCCAAGAGCAGAATGCTAACTAGTATTGTTGATGTAAACATTGTGAGAAATGCGTGCAAAAAGAAGAATTTACTAAGGTTTCAAGCTGCAGGGCAGGATTTGGAATAAGACTTGTGGACTAAGTTCTTTATTGGAAAACATTGACTGAATGTAAGGATCGTTTTTGTTTGAGATGATGACTCTGTGATGCACAGGACGGTGCTAAAAACGGTGAGCTGGAAGTATTTTTCTAAGAGGTTCAGTAAAATTGGTTACTGTGTCTTGCATCTTTAATTGGCATACATAATCGGAATTAAACAATGAAGACTCTTAGCTTTTAAGTTACTTATGTAGAACAAGCAAAATGGCGGATTTGACCTGGAAGTAAATTATATAACGTCCACCGGACAGATTATGAACATGAAAAGGGGTTAATTAAAACATAGTTTACTGGGCCCCCCGAGGAAAACCCACAACCCCTCCAGGTAAAGTCCTCTGGCGCCGGGTCTGGGAGTGCAAACTTTAGCAAAATAACGCACACATCAGACTCCCTTTCATCACTGGCAACAAGTGAGGAGGTAAAAGTGTAAAACAACAACATTTAACAATGACGAAAGTTTTGTAACCATTTGTTACAAACCAGTAAATGCATTTTGTCCTCATGGGCTCCCATAGAAGGAAATATGACTTCTAATATGGCGTCGCCCAGAGACTTAGACCCGCTCCCATGCATTTTAGACCTGATTTTTATGGTTATATGTTAAGAAGCCGCCAATATTTTTCAACAACTGGGCATCATTTCATTCATTTTCAACAACATTTTTAAGGATATTTCCAGAGATTAATGGTAAAAACTACACATTGTCTCTTTAAAATAACATGAGGTAATCAGTAAACAGTGTAAGGTAACCTGCATGCTCCACAGAAACAACTCAGCTGAAAAATGGTGGTGTTGCTGGACATTTTTTCTCAGTTTTATGGTTTTTTGTCAGACTCTGAACCAGGAAATGGCTACAGGCAGTGAAATGCAAGGCAGAAAACTCCAGGGCAACCAGTGACCCCGTCCCCTAGCCAATCAGCAGCCAGAATCACAATGCCGACCCGACTCAGCCTTGCCAGGTACCTCAACGGAGCAGGGGCTAAAAGTAGGGCGAAAATACCGAACCGTGCCCTGGGGAGCAGGGGTCGGGTCGAGCTGCACCGCTCCGAGTTACTCTGAGTAGAGCTCCTGGAAAACTACCTCAAGTGAATGGAGGAGGATCACCTCTAGGTTCTTCATCTACACCAAACACCATCAGCTCCATGACTGAAACCTGGACACAGTTGGGTGTTCCAACAGACAAAAGACCCTAAACACACCAGAACTGGTTTCTGATTGGATAAAGCAGGACAATGTGAAGCTTCTGGAATGGACTTCCCAAAGTCCAGGACTAGGATTAAAAGCTGGTTCTGTGTCAGAAAACCAACCAAATTAAAGTAACTATCAATTCTACAAAGAGAAGTGGTCAAATACCAGCCACAATCATTGCAGATGCTTGTTTAAAATAAAAATAAAAAATAAAAACACCCATCCACACTGTTCTGACACTGCGAACCCAATTCCTGTCAGTAAAACTCATTAGTATGTTGAGCCCAGCTGTGTGTGCCAGGTACGACTTTCCTAGTAATGGTTTTAAATATTTAATCACTGTTCCACTAAAACACCCTAATATCTGCATCAGTGTGTTAATGTGGTGCATTCAGAAATGAAATCATTCTGTTCAGTCCTCCGTATTGGCTCATGTTCTCCCAGGAGATGAGACAGAGAGCTATAACAACAACAGGGAGGGAACGTTGGACCACACTCTCAGTTTATTATAGCTGCGCAAATTCTTGGAGGCAGCATATGAAAATGGACTGAGAGAGAGCTGCCAGTTGTCTGGTAAAAACTGATCTGGCCTCATTATATCGGCGAGCTGTCACTGTCAGTTTCACAGCCTCCGTGTGATTGGTTCAGGTCAGTAAGTATGAATTTGTCCAAGGAGAAGGTGAGGAGTGACCTCTGTCCTAAACTCACACTGTCCCTAATTTCTGTGCGAGAGTGTGCAGCTGGGTGACTTCACCAGAGAAACCATCCCCAATGGGAGATCAGAGAATGTAGACCAATATCAACAACAGCGTAAAAAAACCAGCAATAAATTGGTCTACTTATAGCGGGACAATAAAACAAGACATAATTCAGCTGTGAAAATAACAGCATGTGATCAGGTACGAGTCCAGAACCATGAGTCACACACAGAACACAGTTCACTGCTTGTTAAAGCTCCACCACGCAAAGAAGAAAAGATAGACGTATAAACAAGGCAAAGAAGAAGAAAGGCTGCTGTGTTCTCTGGGCTGATGCTCATTAAAGAAAGCACACATCTTCCCTGTAGTCACTCTGTGATGATGGTGGAAAGTTTAGATGTCACGAGTCTACAAAACAAATAGTGATCAGTTGTCACCAACGTGACACCCAGAAACGAACGTCCAAAGATGTGCTTCACGCAGTTTGTAGGAACTCTGGCAAAAGTATGGAGTCACCAGTCTTAAAGAGACAACGTGTAGTTTTTACCATTAATCTCTGGAAACATCCATCAAAATGTAGTTGAAAATGAATGAAATGATGCCCAGTTGTTGAAAAATACTGGCAGCCTCATAACATAGAACCATAAAAATCAGGTCTAAAATACATGGGAGTGGGTCTAAGTCTCTGGGCGACGCCATATTAGATGCCATGTTTTCTTCTACGGGAGCCCGTGAGGACAAAATGGAGTTACTGATTTGTAACAAACAGTTACAAAACTTTCGTCATTCTTAAACGTTGTTTTACACATTTACCTCTTCACTTTTTGCCAGTGATGAAAGGGTACTCCCCGAGGCTTTCTGACCCTAATGGGCACCGTTGGTAAGGTCTTACTCCAACACATAACTATTGCTTGGTTGCAACAGTTTAGGTATCTACTGCCCCCTATCGCCAGGAAAAATACACACTGTCACTTTAAGGGATGTTTGGGAATTTAAGTATAGGACTCAAACATCTGGTGATTTTCTGATGGCTGATGG